TTTTGTTTCAGATATTGTATAGTCCGCGATGTACGCGCTATGCAAATTATCTTGTAATATGTTACCGCTGTGCAGATCTCTATGAATAATTCCTTGGGAATGAATTGCCTTAAGGTCAGAAGTTATGCTAAATAACAAGTTTAACTTATCTCTCCATTTAATTGCCGATATATATTGAAGATTCTGACGTAAAGATCCCCTTTTTGCGTATTTTAATACGAGAATGTAATTTCCGTTTTCGTTTCTTGATATACCGTAACATTTCATAAACGAAGGATTTTCAACTCCAATTTCGTAAAAATTTTAGTTGATCGTTTAATAGAGCTATAAGTCCATGTAGCGCTGGATACAACCGCAAAACCACCTTCTCCGATTACTCTAATATTTTTAAACTCGTAGGGTATCCAAGTTAATTGATATTTATCATCGTCTAATAATGTTTTTATATCACCGTCAATATCGGCACTTTTATATTCTGATCTGATGATTTCGTAAAATTTACTCTTTTCCATTTGAAACCAATAATTAGCTTTCACCACGTCTATTTGTGTTCCAATCCCATTTCGAAAACAATAACCGACTTCTGACATTCCATTAGCACTACCCATCTCTGCAGATTTTTTAAAACATTCGAATGCCTTCTTTTCGTCTTTTTCGACTCCGATTCCGTTGGAATAGCAATATCCAACATTATTTATTCCAGTAACATTACCCATCTCTGAAGATTTTTTAAAATATTCGAATGTTTTCTTTTCGTCTTTTTCGACTCCGATACCATCTCTGTAACAATATCCAACATCATTTATTCCCTCTGCTAAACCCATCTCAGCAGATTTTTTACAATATTCGAATCCCTTCTTTTTGTCTTTTTCGACTCCGATTCCTTCTTTGTAGTAATATCCAACAGTATTTATTCCAGCAGCATTACCCATCTCTGCAGATTTTTTAAAATATTCAAATGCCTTCTTTTTGTCGTTTTCGACTCCGATTCCGTTGGAATAGAAATATCCAACATTATTTATTCCATCAGCATCACCCAACTCTGCAGATTTTTTAAAATATTCGAATGCTTTCTTTTCGACTCCGTTACCATGTCTGTAGCAACATCCAACTTTATTTAATCCTTTTGCAAAACCCATCATCGCGGCTTTTTGAAAATGAACGAACATTTTTTTATTATTTCTCTCGACACCAATTCCATTACAATAACAAAGACCAAGAATATAATTTCCATAAGCATTTAACGTTTTATCTGATCTTTGATAATGAAGAAGTATATTATATTCATGCTTTTCAATATCGAATTTATTTTTCAGCAATAATGGCTTATCGAAAATTTCATTAATATACAATAATATAAATATATTATCCTTAATGCATTGATAAAATCAAAAAGTGATGAATCATATTTTTCTAGAAAAAAATAACCTTTTCCATGGAGAATCTACAATTCCATATTATTTGGATTAACGTTTATTGCAATATCAAGATCTGAAATAGCCTTATTGAATTGTCTAAGTTTAAAATTGATATAAGTATCATATAAAATAAATGCATTATTAAATTCAATGTCTAAAATCTTTGATAATTTTTCTGTGTTTAATTGATTTTCTTCGTGTCGTCCTAGTTTAAAATTTGCTTCACGTCGATATAATAGTGCAATATTATTATCTGGCTCAACTTTCAGTACTTCATTTAAATATTTAATGACTTCTTCATATTTTTTTAAAATGAAGAAAATTTTCGCACTAAAAATCAAAGCTGTTTTATTATTTGGGCTAATTTCTAATACTTTTTTAAAATATGAAAGAGCGTAATCGAATTTTCCACGTATAAAATATTCTTCTCCACAACAAAGTATAATTGCCGTTAAATTAGTTATAACAATTTTTTTAGAACTTTTTATTACAGAATTTTTCATTGAAGTAAAGTCAAACTCATTAAAAGCGTCTATTAAATATTTTACTGTCGTTTCATTACTTGACTCAATTTCAAATGCTTTGCTAAAATCTTCATGGGCTTTATAATAGTTTCTTAGATTGAAATAAGCTGTTCCACGAAGAATTAACGCAGGCACAAAATCCGACACAATTTTTAATGCATTACTTAAATCATTAATAACACTATTGTATTGCTTTAGTTTAAAATGAATTTCACTGCGATATAATAATAATGCAGGCGAATTATTTGGTTCAATATCTAGTGCTTTGTTCAAACATGCCAGTGCGTATTCTTGTAGTCCTAGCTTTAAAAGAATTTTACATTGAAAAATTAACGCCGTTACATTTGTTGGCAAAATCCCTATTGCTATATCGAAGTCTGAATACGCATTATAATAATGTTCTAAATTCAAGTAAGCTTCTCCACGAAGAATTAGCATATCTGCATTATTCGGCTCGATTTTTAATGCTTCGTTAAAATCGACAAATGCTTCATGAAAGCGACCAAGACAGTAGAAAGCCTATCCACGCAAAAAAATCACAGTAGCATTACTTTGTTCTATTTCCAAACTCTTATTCAAATCTCTGATTGCGTTATTATACTGATCCAGATAAAAATAGGCACCTCCGCGAAGTGTTAGTATAGTTATATTTTTGGGGTTAATTTCTAAAGCTTTATTTAAAAATTTGATTGTATCTTCGTGCCGCTCTAGATTAAAACAAATTTTTGCTTGAAGAATCAATGCATTGATATAATTTGATTTGGATTCTAATGATATTCCAAGATTATATAAAGTATCATCATATAGCTCTAATGCTTTTTCAAGATCATAAAATGCTTTATAATAATGACCAAGTTTAAAATAAACATCTCCACGATAAAGTAATGTATCCACATCACATGAATTAATCTCCAATACTTTATTTAAATCCAAGAATGCCTTATAATATTGTCCTAATGAACAATAAACTTTTCCACAAAAAGATAATGCAGTCAAATTATAAGGATCAATTTCTAATACTTTGTTATAGTATAAAATGGCTTTATCATATTGCTCTAATGAATAATGTGATTCTCTATGAAACAATAATATATTTATAAGTTTTTGTAGAGCGTAATTAGTGTCAAATTCATATAAAAGTTTAAAGTCTAAAAATGGCATGCTATATTGTTGAAATTTCAGGTAAATTTCTTTGCGAAGAGCTAATACATATGCATTATGAGAATTATTACTTGAACTATTACTCGAATTAAGTTCCAATGCTTTATTGACATTTATAAGTGCTTCATTATATTTTCCTAACATTAAGTACGTTTCTCCACGTAAAATAAATGAACATGCGCTAGTTGGTTCGATTTCTAATATTTTATTTGCATCTGAAAGAGCTTTTTCATAGTTTCTTAGTTTAGAATAAGTTATTCCACGGAGAATTAATGCGGCCAAATTGTTAGAATTGTTTTCTAAAATACAATTAAATTGATCAAGTGAGTCAACATAATGTCCCAATTTCAAATATAAAATCCCAAGATTAATTTCATTTTCATGCTCATTGTTAATAGAATTAAAGATTTCATATTTATTAACAGAGAAAGTCATTTATTAAATGAGTTTTATGTTAAGCTTTACATAGAAAAATAGTGAACATACTACTTGAAGAATCCTATTTATTTTATAAAATGCGCAATTTTTTACTAATTTTGAAATCCCAGATATAGAAAATAATGCCCAATTAATTAGAAATAGTGACGATTTGATGAAATGCACCAAAGCATTTATCTATGACGTACGTACGTACGTACGTACGTATGTACACGTACATTGCTAAATTTAAACTCCCTCTTTGCATATAATAAGAATAAATTTATCAGTCAGCGAAAATGGGGTTGCATACGCATCTTTTTCTGTAATCGTTGTACAAAATGTACGAGATGCACATGCTGATGCTAGTCAATCTCCAAGTTAGACTTTCATCCATAGATACTTAACTTCTACCTAAGTAAAATTCAACAAGATTCTAAATATAGTGAATTATTCAGAAAGACAATTTAAGTTCCTGCATGCAAAGTATACGCCAGTCAACAATATCAGCCACGTAAGAAATCTGTGCTATCGGCCAACATTAAGGTAAGGCTTAACACCAAAATTATGTGAGATATATTTTTTTGTTAGGGCACGAAAAGCCATAGCCAAAATTTTGTGTTAGAAAATTTTTTTCTTAACTTTGTCGATCGACAAAAACTGTCACTTTACATAACTGATAATGTATGTACGTACGTACGGTGCAGGAAATTTAAAAACCTCAGTCTCCATTTTAAGATGATGCATAAACTAGTGGCTCATTGAGAATAAATTTCAATCTCAATACAGGCAATAGAGTGATGAGCATAGAAATAATGCGCCAAGAATAATATGTACTGTACGTACGTACTTAATAGGAGCTGTTTTATGCATACAGCTGAAACTTAAACCGTTACTGAATTTAGCTTATATTCAATGTGCTGGTCGTTTTTTGTTATATATAGAGTGATTGAGGTTTTTAGATTTCCTGCACCGTACGTAAATTCTCTCGATAAGCTTGTGTTACATGACATTTGTACATATGGGCTAATTCAGTTCACATATGAGCTAAACTGTCGTGCCCCAAAAATTTTTGTAGTGGAGCAGGTTATTTGACAATACAATTGTCTAACAGTTAACTATACTAATTTGAGGTAGAAGGTTTAACAATGATACGTAATATCAAATAGCATATTTCAGTAGGTCCAGTCAAATGGATTAGACGATAATCTAATGGGCTTTAAGAACGTCTAATGGGTTTGACGCATATTCATTAAATCCTTCTTGCAGATATAGTGCAGAATAAACCCTCAATTAATCGAAACAATCACAATTAGGATACCTCAGACCAATAACAACAAATCAAACAAGGGGTTTAGTTTAAATTTAGTGACTCCATTCAGGGTCCAATGAAACAAATTAGCCCATATGATATAATTTATATAATTTGTAATAATTGTTTCGCAAAATAACGAATTGTGCTTTTGCTGAAAATAAAAAAATGTCTATGTTAGAAAACGGAGAAAAGTCCAAAGATATGTCGTGGGACATTCGTATCAAAGAATTCATCGATGTAGTCTCAAAAGATACGTTGAAACCCGCTGAACTAATTGCTGCTTTAATAACAAAATATTTTCCAGAAAATGAAATAGATATATTTACACAATTACTTGAAAGATCTCAATTCATACTTAAACGTGATGAAGTAGAAAAAGAACTTGGTCAAATTATGGTCGAAGAAATTAAACAAAATCTTGTTAGATGTCAAGGTGCCTCGAGTAGTAAACAATCAGAATGTTTGACAAATTTAATCAAACAGTGTGATACTTTTTATGATAGTTTGACTACTGCTACTGGGAAGAATAAAGACAACGTAAATTTAGTTACTATTGCTATCACATATTCATTTATGCATCTTGCTATTTTGAAAGAGAAAAGCACTCACCATAAGTTACCTAAATAAATTTCTTATTGTTAAAATTCTTTAAATAAAGCCTGTAACGGTAATGTTTATATATATATAATCTATTTTTTTTTAGGAACTATCTTATGATAATGAGTTACGAGAAAAAGTTGAAGGTTATAAAAAATATTTTATAGAAATATATTCTACATGGGAAATTTGGCGCAATGCTAGTATCGAAATAATGACGGATATGAATATTCCTCACCATAGTTATTATGACTTGCGTAGTCCTAACAAACTTTATAACAAAGTTTATGATACCTTTCTTGGTAAAGCTGTTACTTACGCAAACACAGAATATAACCTAGACGCAATAGCAAGATACAAGGGACTGTGTGATCGAGTAAAATCACGATATTTTAATGAAGCAAATGGGGAATTTATGAAAATGTATTTGTATACATTTGCTTTGGATAAATTCTTGCCTAATAATTCGAAAGCGCCTACAATCGCTCCAAATCGAAAAATTGGTACAATTGTTTATGGAATTTATGGAAAAGATACGTTTCCAGACGGTGGTCATGGCCCAGAAGATCATAGTGAATTCCATCTAATGAGTAATGATAAGTCTGATGTCATTACTGGTATAAACATCCATTGTGGTTATTTCTTAGATTGTCTAAAGGTTAAATATAAAAATCAAATTGGAACCGCTATCGGAAATGAAAAGGGTGGAAATGCGTATACTATTCGAGGTCTTGATGAGAAAGATAATTACGTGGTTGGTGCAAATGTTTATTTTCGTGAACATGTTAGTGACATTCAATTCTTTCTGTCAGATGGTCAAAAGACTGATGTTTTTTGAAATGGTGAATCAAATCAAGAGACATTGGAAATCAATTGTGGTCCTATAGGTTATAATAACGATTTCAAATTAATAGGAATTCAAATGGCTGAATCAAAAGCTGTTCAGCATACTAATCGTTGTGTCGGTCATATTTCTTTGACATTTGAGCATGTACATATTGCAAATTAAATTTCTTTAAAGGTTTGGAGTGAAAAAGTAGAAACTAATAATATATTTGCAGCTATGTTATAACGATTTTTTTTCTTAACCAACTTTTTTTTGTAAACGACAAATGTTATTTCAAGTAATTTCAAAAGACTTTTCTATTTATATAAACTGTACTTTAAGTTATAGTACGTACAAGGTCATACTTTATCATAGAGAACTTTATCATAGAGAAATAGTTTCTATAATTTGACAAACCAATTATAGACGATAGCCAACATAAAATACAGTAGATGGTTTTTTTTTGATACAGTTTTGTGTGTAATCTGTCATATGAGTGCGGGAAAGCGCACTCGTTTTTTTTAGTAAGTTATTGATTATTTATCCGATTCAGCCCTTCTGATTTACAGCATTTCGGGCATTAAATATATCCGATATCGATAATATCGATATTGGATATATTTAATGCCCGAAATGCTGTAAATCAGAAGGGCTGAATCGGATAAATAATTAATAGCTTACTAAAAAAAAACGAGTGAGCCCTTTTCCCTCTCCCGCACTCATATGTGTAAAACTAAACGATTATATCAATAGCAGAGAGTACCCGATCCAGAGTGAATCCCTCTCTCCTGTGATCAATCACAAATTAAATTATTTTATATTGGATTCAATTGCCCTCACCAGTTTTGATATATGTGTAACATCATCCGATTCCAAGCCTCATCCCCGACATTATAATATACAGTACGGGACAGCTAAAGATATCTACTTTTTATATATAAAAGATAAAAAGACTTATAACTCAAAAACAAATAACTTTAAAAAAAATCTGTCTTACAAATTTGTTGCTTTTAGTCTAAGCTACAATTCTGTTAGAATAGATTTTAATTTTTATTATAAAATTTAAAAGTTTTTAGAGTTTAAAGTTTATATATAATCCAAAATTTGACATTTAATATATAAAAAAATAATTATATATATTTTTAACCAATCAAAATTTATTACACAAAAAATTAGCCAATTATATTTGATTACATAATCATAAATTTGGCATTTTTTTAAAAAAAGTAGATATCTTTAGCTGTTCCATACTGTATATATTGAGATACATTTTTTCTTAACTAATAAAAATTTATTGTTGTAATATTATGGCTAGAGATGGAAATTATACAGTATAATAAATTTTGGTATAAATAATTACCATATATAATATTTAGAAAATACATATAGATTTGTCATGTGCTTACTTATACAGTATTTTATTAACTATACTATACCAATTATATAGTTATTATACCATTTTTATTATATGGTATTGTATAATTGCCTATCTCTAGTTATGGCATACTAAAAGTAAATAATTTGATATCATTGATCATTATGTGCAACCAATCATATTTTTTACTAGATACTTTCATTTTTCACAGTATCAGCTATACCATCGCATTTTTAGATATTGTGATATAGTAGCATTTTCTTTAATATTTTCCTTAAATTTTTTGTTTTTTTTCTTATTTTATTTAGTCAATAAACTTTTTAATTGAAGGTGTATATGTTTGGAAAAAATATATATGTAGATTTGCCTTGGTGTATATAGTTTCTTTTTAATTGAAGTATATATATATAGATTATCAGATATTTAGACTTATTTTTTCTTGAATCTGGTTTAATATTCTTAGAGCAAGACAAGTTTTAGAGTGAATATTAAAAATTACTAACTAAAAATATAGCTTTTTATTTTTTAAGTATAGTAATTCTTTTTTTCAACTAAAGAATCAATAACCAATGTCGTTTAGATATTGATTTTCACTTTTTTTTATTTTTTATTAACAAAGCTTCAGAAGCACAGTATATTAAGTTGTTATAAAATACTTATTGAGTATTACTTCCAATAGTTTAATCACTTTCAACTATAGTTGCAGTCATTAAGGTTGTTATTTTTTTACATCACCCTTTATATTATATAAAATTCATATATAATCATATAATATATCATATTAATATATTATATCAAATATTATCTCATGGCTCCTAATTGATCGCTCATAATTTTTTTTACTGTTATCTTCACGGTTTACATCACAATATTTAGTACTATAACTGATATCTTCATGGCTGATATCTCCATGGCTGATATCTTCACGGCTGATATCTTCACGGTCGATATTGTTATAGCTGCTGTTATAATAAAACTAGTCAATACTTTAAAAATTATATAACTGCGCAATTTTAATTTTATAAACTAATGCATTGGTTTTATTATAAGCATTTATTAATTTGCAAATTTAATATTAAGAAAACACATAAAGCATTGAAATTCTAATTTAATAATAAGTTCGCTATTTTTGAATATTAAATGTAATATTTGTAAAAGAACAGTTGTTAAAAATGGTATTTGAGAGAATTTTTTCATTACTAGAATTAAAACTATTTTCTGTAAAATTCAAATTATTTGTAATTTTCTGCAATGGAGTTTGCGAACTTATATTATTATTGTTATCATTATTGTTTGCAGACCCATTTGTGATATTAATCAAAGTATTTATAGTATTAAGTTGTTGATCTTCATTAACTTGCTTGTAAGCATGAATTCCTTGAACACTCTTATGTCCTGTAAGTTGCATAATTGCCTGTTCAGGAATGTCACGATCTTGTAAACATTGGGCTGCAGTTTTTTGACCCGAATAGTTTGTAAGTAATTCTATAGGAATATCAATTTGTGTGATGCATCCAATTTTACGCATAAAATTCATTAATTTATTTTTTCCTACATGATTCTTCTTATACCAAATACCTGATTCCATCCAATCAGAATTCAGTTGTAAATAAAATTCTGAATCAGCTAAAGAAGGCTGTTTGGACAAATAGAATTTTATATCATCATATGGTCCAACAGCATTCACAAGAATTAAAATAACTTGTGCTTGACCTTTTTGGAGTCCACGTTGATTATTTTTTGAAGTGTAATGAAAAAACTGTAAACCACCTTGCCTATCAATTTTAAACTGATTAACTTTAAGTTGATAGTGTTCACCATCATGCATTGCAAGGAGAATTGATAAACATATAAAAATACGATATAATAGGTTTACTGAATTGCTACGGTCAATTTTTGGATGCTGTAAAATTTCTTAAATTTGTTGTGAATTTAATGCAATTGATCCCCTTGTTTCACCGAATCCATGTTTTTGAAAATCTCATATTTTTCTATGTAAAACAGTATACAAATCTGGAAATAAATACCAATCATGTAAATTAACCCGAATTAGTGAATTATAAAGAAAAAATCGGCTTATAGCATCTACTGCTTGTTTAATAGAATTTGCTTTATATTTGCCACCATCTTTTTTTTTCATGTCTGAAATATATTCAATGATTTCTTTTTCAATTTGTTTTAAATCATTTAATTCTGTTAAAGAATTCAAATATCCAGAACTAGCACAAAATTTTTCAAACTTCACTATCCAATTTCTT